AAAAGATTTAGATAGCAACAAAACCTTTCAAAACAAAAGGCGTCGCCGAACCACGTTTTGTGCGATTTTCGAGGCTTTTCCAATATTCAGCTATTTCCCAAAGCTTCAGCTCAGTGCCATCGATCCACTTCTCAAATGTTTTCACTTTGTCCATTCGCGCCGTCCCGTTCAACGATCGCCCTTTCACAGGTTTCTTTTTACGCAGCACTAAATCACAGTCAAGAATTCACATTTAAAAAGAAAAAAAACAATCCCACATTATATCTTGACAGAATACCGTGGCCCCAGATGTTATGTATGATAAAACAAAACGTCTCCCAAGTCTCAAAAAGAAAATGAGCTAAATCACATACTGAAAGAAACGTAGGAAATGCAGCTACCAACGAATAAAGCAAATTTACCTTTTTCCAGCGATCTTCCCGGCTGGTATGTAGCGCCTTCAAGACTAGCGTCATCTTCAGCCAAATCTATACTGTCGTCCAGGGGTACCACTTCCACATGTAATTGATATTGCTCAGAGACACCATCCGGTGGTAACTCCTTATGACCAATCACTGTACGAATCTCATCATGGTCCGCGTAATGCGCTATTACACGTAAGTCCTATAACAAGCCAATGCACCGTATAGTGAAATTGAAATAAAATACACGTGCCTGTTCCTAGACCGAAAGATTCAGCAACAGGTAAAAGCTAAAAACCCAACTCCTGAATGCCCTCGCTTCTCATAAAGAATGATGCCAAAATGGGGTTTTAAATCCCCACAAGCTCACCACCTCCAATTTTTTCAGCCTTTTTTTAGTTTGCTTCTCTCTCACAATAGTTTTCCTTTGTGACCTCAGTGCTGCAACCTGATCGTGCCCTCTTCCACGTTTCCCGGGCTTGATTCAAACTTCACACGCCACTAAACCAAGGGGATTCGCTGAATGGTTTTCAAGCCGCAAATTCTATTATATTCCGCTCGGTCGATTAACAAAAGGGAGCGAGGAAAAATATTTTGTATTGTTTATAAAGAAATGTTTTAAAAATTTTTTTTAAAGGCAAGGAAAATATCTTATAAAAACATTACTTTTTTTTGTAGAATATTATCCTCATAAAAGTAAATGAAATTCAGTAAGCGCTACATGCTGTTCGCTTTACCGGCACCTACTGTGAAAAAGCAGAACAGTGAGGGGGAAAACAACCATTCGGGCAATCAACGAAGAGATGGTACTATGCAGTACAACCGACAAGTACCAAAGGGAAGCATTCGGTGCAAGACTTAAGGGTCTGCCTATACTAATGTCAATCTGCAGTAGTAAGACCCCAGAACAACAAACTGGAGCTTATACGCCACGGACAAAACAAACAAAGTACAACAAATTACTTCTTCGGGATCACGACGCATGTCGGCCCATCGAATGCATGCATAGAGTATCCGCAAATGCAGCGCAATTGAATGGTACGACTGTGCTCGCAGCGTCAAATACCTAAAAACGATCATCCCAATTTGAAATGCGATAGAGCATAACTGTGAGAAAGCCTTGGAAAACCGAAGTAGTTATCTGAGTCGAAGGCCTACGTAAAGAAGGCCTTTGATTCAACGGAACAAGCGCCAAACTGTAGACTCCCCTAGGAGCAGTTATTTTTGCCCGGGAAAGATTCGGATCATAAAAGACTCTCTTGCTAAGTCATAAAAAAAAGCTTTCCGGCCAGACAACACTGGACACGAAGGACGAAATTTGTAAGTTCCCAGCGCAATATATGTAAGTTTTCAAATCTACCAACGAAAAACCAAGTAAAAGACGCGCTGAGACCCGAGAATTACTCTGCTGAGCTTGCGAAGAGCCAAATGCGCATGGGACAATTAATCTAGATGAATCGACGAATTTGGAAAAGAAATGAGCAGAAGGAAAAGGACAACAAGACGCTTTCAATTCCACTGCAAAAAAAGTGGGAAATGGGTTGACACGTCCGTTGTGAAAAAAACTGGCGACGGTTAAACGAGTTTTGGACGATTCAGCAAGTTGCAGCATATTTCCAGTGAAATATAAAGCGTTTTTAGTCTAAACTGAGAGAGAACAAGGCGAAGTACGCCAGTAAGAACTGGATGTTCATGTGGCAAGAATAAAAAAACATCAGAGGGATGGGACGGACAACTGAACGACATTCACACGATGTTGACAGAACATGGAAAAAGCCGCCATTGTGGTAGAACGATCGCTCGCACTGAATTACGCGGATGAGAGAAGCCCGAAGCAGAGAAGTGAGAAGCTGCCAATTACATCAATAACGAAGGAAACGGCAGCTGACTGGACTAGCAAAGTAAGTACCCAATGTCCTTTCTGATAATTCTTACAATCGGGCTAACTATTTGGATTCCTCGGTGCCGGATCAGTTCCTTTACGAATCGATATTTTGGTAATAAACTAACACTACCACACAGCAGAAGCTGTCGACAGGCATACCAGCCAGCTGTTGCTGTTAAGAAAACAATATCTTTTGGTATGTCAGAAGTGAACGCTTACCATTCAATATAAGACATGAAGAAATTTACTTTTAACTAACATTTTTCTAGCAG